CCCCAAAACCCCAAAACCCCAAAACCCCAGACAGAAAGATTTAGAGCAGAGTAATTGGCGCTTTGAAGGAAAATTAAAAAAAATTATATATTAATCAATGTAACATGGTTTGTTAATAATTCCAAACAATACTAAATTAAAACCAAAATTCAGATCCTTAAAGTAAATACTACTCATTGGAACTCAAACAAGTTTATTTTACTGGCCATTTTGATTAACTGTGACATTAACATTAATAGGGACTCCTCCATTTGCGTTTATCATTGGTTGATGAACTACTATAGTATCTGTTATTTATATATTTTACCATTTTGACCAGGATTCAAATTTTGAGATGGATCATTCAACTGATAGTTTTAAGGAAGTCCTCCTCCTAACCCACTACTAAACTACTAATTCATTTGGATCTAGCTTTAATTCTGATTGCTCAAATTTTGATTAGAGCTTGCTCCATTAGGATTATTTTAATTCATCTACTTCTTTTTCTTCATTTACTCAATCAAATCATCAGCCTTCTTGGAGTTATCATATTGAATAGCCTAAACTGCTCTCCTACCCTCTTCATGTTCTTTATCTACTTTCTAGATTTAATTTGCTTGATTTTTCATATTTTCTATACTACCATAGTAAGTGTCTTTATTATTAACTATTTATCCGTCATCTACTACTTTTCCATATTAGATTCTTGTATTTTTTGACTCCAATTATTGTTTGGATTATATAAGATTATTTCTCTGGTTAGAATATTCATTAAGTTTTACTTCTTGTGCTTCAATGTCCTTCGCAAGGTTCTATAAGAAGATATGATCCAATTTCTATTAAAAGCTTAGCATAATCATTAATTTACATCGTCAATTCCTTTATCTAGTTCTTGTTCAATTTTTAGTTTTTTATCTAGTGTTGTTTTTATTTAGAAGTCAACTCCTGTGATACTGTCAGCTATATTGTTGATTTTAGACTCTATATTTTCTAAATTTTCACTATTCTCTACTGCAGAAGGAGGAGGTCCTAAATTATAATCTATACAAAATTTAATCAATCTAGTTTGAAATATGGTTTTAATTGAAAGGTTACTATTCTGTTATTATTTATTACTAGTATTATCCTTAAAGGAAGTACTTTTATCATTTCTAACCTCAAAGTTATTTGGATTAGACTTCAAATTAGTGTTTCCCTATATAGCTAAAAAGGAACTTTAAGAATACTTATTTTGAATCAGTGCAACCCATTTAGCTTGCTTTAATCAAATTTACCAAAAATATTTATATTTATTGTTTTTAATTTCAATTGAAACATCTTTCCGAATTGAAATAATACCTTTTTAAATTCATGGGGTTTTGGGGTTTTGGGGTTTTGGGG